AAGCAAGCAGATTTTGTTCGGGCCGGTCAGGGTCGGTCTATGCCACATACGTTTTTCACATGGAAACGGCTGACAGGAGAACAACCCAGTGGCAGCTCTCAGCGAGATGATGGCGGCTTGGCCCAGAAGAGACACCAGCCAGCTTCTTCTTTTGGGTCGCTGCTTTAAGGTGAGCAACAAAAAACGGTCATTTGTTTTCGTGTATGTTTTGTTTTCCCCTTTTTGGTTTAAAAAGGAAGCGATTTTTGCTGGAAATATGTTTTTTTTTCCAAGGGGCTTAAGCAAATGGAAGAACACTTGGGGCTATGGATCAAAATTAAACCACCAGGGGTCAGGTGTCGGTCCATGTTTCCAGGGTTCCATTTGGGGATTCCCTATTTTTGACCCACAGCCAAGTGGGGAAGCTTGAAGGGAAGCTGCCCCCAGGTAAAGTTTATTTTCCTTGGTATCCCCAAAAGCTCTCCGACTAATTCTCGAAGCCAAGCCAGCTCCGAACCCAAGGTTTAGCCCTAGAAACTACACGGCACAACCCTCTTCCCTTTGTCTCAGTTGCCCAAAGCGAATCGACCTTTTAACCTTTTGGTTTTCCGATTTGGCCCATTTTTAGTCATGGCCCCAAAAGGTTAACCTTTTATTTCTGGGTCCTTTAGGCAACTGAGTTGATTGTCCTAGGGGTTATCATCCTCTTTACGGGCAGAAGGGCCACCTGCTTTCACCCTGCAACATCAAGAAGTGAAGTACATCTGGAAATGTGGCCACATATGGCTGGTCAAAAATAGGGTAACCCCCAAATGGAGCCCTAGTAAGTGGAAACATGGACCAACAGATGAGGAAAGGTCCGTGCCACCTACTTCGGGTGTCCGGTTCAGGGCCGGTCACGACTTCCCGCTAACCTTTTTTCCCAATGGGAAACTAGAAAGAGATGGATCCGGTTTTTCCAATCTTTCCTGAACCCCTAGTGGCCCTAGTCAACACCCAGAAATGGAATCAATCACAAAATGTGTGTGTGTGTGTGTGCGTATGGGTGTTTCCTTTGTTTTCCTCGGGAACCCCTATTGGCTTCCGAGAGAATAGGGGATCCCCCCCCCATGTAGCTGTTGGGGGTTTTATCATCTTACCCACACAAAAGCCACGTGCCTCAACCCACCTGTAGCTACAAAAGGAGATGGGATTTTAATACATATTTTTCAAGGAACCCAGTCCCTCCGCCCCCCCCAATTGTTACGCCGGGGACGGCTCAACCCCCTGTGCAAAGAGCGGGGGCAAAGGAATCTCAAATGGGTATGTCGGTATTTATTTCTTTGAGGGTACTCCTTGTTTGGTTTGAAAGGGCACCTCAAAGGAAACCCAACACTTTCGGATGTTGGGGGTCCAAGTCCACAAAAAAAAGACGCCCATCTTTCATTATTTTGAACACCCTAGCCCGAGAACAAAACAATCAAACCATAGGTGTCCTTTCTGTTTGATTTGGTTGAAACATAGAGGGCCCTGGTTTACCTGGTGGTGCAATCAACTACCAGGGCCACCCATTTTCCCAGAAAGGACACCAATGAATTAAACTTTTCCCCCCAGAGTTCGACGTAGCTCGAACGACGTGGGAATCTGCGCTTCGGCACGTCGGAGGACATGATCGACGCCTCCCCGAAGACCACGGTGGCGGCCCTGAACGGCCCAGCACTCGGCGGCGGAGGAGACTCGGCCCGAAAAAAACAACAGACCGGAATCCTTCCATGTGGCCAAAAGGACACCTACAATTTGTTGGTAAGGGAGCCGTTCGGAAAGTTTCGCTGGGGGTATCCAAGTTTGCCTGGGGAGTCTTTGTAAGGAAATGAAGCCTCAACCAACTTGGTGCATTTGCTTGGATGTTAGGACTGAAACAAAAATGCCAACGAAGGGTTTCCCCATTAAACCAGTAAAAGTTTTTTTTCAAGGGAGCAGAAAGCAACCGAGGTTAAGAATATTTTTTAATTTTCCACTGTTGGTTTTAAAGGGAATCGATTTCACTACCGGTCATATTTTCTCATTTTTTCCAGGGGACATTTTCGCAAATGGAACGGAGCCGTTTGGAGGATTTGTCCCATTTGGGGTTGATCAAGATTGGTTTTCTTTTCTAGGTCTCCCAGTAGTGCCCTTTTAAGGGGAGAGTTCCCTACAAAAATAGACTACAGAAAAAAGGGTACCCTTATTCTAACCTCTCTACTGGAGGACCTAGGAGCCTTTTGGAGGATTTTCGTATTTGGGGGTTGATCTTTTTTCTTTTCTTGGTCCCCCAATAGTGCCCTTTTAAGGGGGAGGGTTCCCCTACGAAAATAGACTACAGAAAACAAGTTGGTACCCTTATTCTAACCTCTCTACTGGAGGACCTTGTTTTGGTTTTCCATCTAAGCAGCAAGACATTCAAACTCACGGGGTGGTTTGATTATGACTCCTTGGATTCCCGAGAAGGAAAGGGACCCCTCGAAAGATGGGGGTCTACACTTTTATGTGGGGTTGATCAATATTGCATTCAGGGCCCCCGATTTGACCGTGGGTTACTTTTCCCACTCATCTTACTGGTGTTCCCCAATGGTCATCCCATGCAAAGGACCTTTTAATCAACCTCCATTTGGGTACCCATGTTTTAGTCATATTCAAAGCCAACACCCCCCAACTTGCAACTGCTTTTTAAAAATTGATCCACATTCTCCGTCCTTAAAAAGCAGTAGTTGGGACCCGGCTGGAAAAGGTGGAACCTTTGATTTTCATGGCGGGCCTATCTTTTTGCAGGCGACCCTCGAACATAGCTTTCATGCTCCTCTTGGGTTTCCCTGTAAAACCCCCCCCAAATAAAAGGGGTATAGCTAGGTCTCCCAGCTTGGTGCCCTGTCTCACCCACTTTTTTGGGGGGCGGGTTTTCGTCTACAACAGTAGGCTACAGAGAAAAAAGTTGGTACCAACTTCTTCTGTCCCCTCTACTGGAGGACCTAGTCTTGGTTTCCCGGTAAAACCACCTGAAAAAGTGAACCAACTCCAAAAGACGAGCCGCGCACATGAGGAGAGGTGAGCTTGGCCTGCCACTACCGAGTGGCGGCACCCAACAGCTGCAACCTCAGAGGGGCTCAGAGTTTCGTGGGGCTTGTGTGTCAGTGTCAATATGGGGGAGGTCATTTTTTGTTGGGCCCTCTCAATTTGAAGTGTTTCAAACGAAGCCAACGGATCTTTTGTCATTTTGCACGGGACTGGAATTTGGACCCAATGGGTGGGTGAATTCTCTTTGGTTTGCTTGAAACCAAGCATGAGGTTGTACCAACCTCAGAACGCATGCAGCCCCTCGGACCCGGGAAGGAACCACTTCGCGTTAGCCATCCCTTGGATGTTCGATTCGCCAAGTTAAAAAGTGGCTAGCTGCTTGGTTTTGTTTGCATCCCCAAATTGCCAGGTGCACACCTGCTGGGACATTTTAAAGTGGGTTGTAGCCTAGGTTACTAACAACTTGTTAACTTGGCCGCAACCAATCCAAGTATGTGTTTAGATGTTTTTAGTTGGCTTAGTGGTAGTTTCCACTAAACCACTAAACGTTTTATGACTTTTAGCGAGGGATCGGTGGGGAACAGCCCACTTTTGAGGTATTTTCCCTTGTTGATGAAGGGAAAGGGGGACTTCAGCAAATGGAGGGATGAGCGTTCATAGCCAGAAGTGAAGAATTGCGGAAACCTCTTTTTGTTGGTTATTTAAAGGGAATTCACAAGAAAGCCGTTGCCAGTTTAGGAAATCGGCCGATTCCTATTTTGAGAGACACCCAGAAAAGCTGATCGCACACGCCCAGAACCAGAAGCTCTGGTATGAAGGCGTGATGCGTAAAGGGGGCACATGCATACCTGTAAGTCGTTTGCTATTTGATTGGATTGTCTGGGCACCAAATGCCACTCCCGCCTAATTGGCCCAAATGGACACCAACAGAGGAAGTGTATGTGTTTTCCGGCCGCCGTTTTTACCCTCCGATTCAGCGGGCAGCTTTTGGGTTTGACAACTTCTAGCGTTGCGTGGGCAAAGCGTTCAGCTTTATTGTTATTTATTTTTCTCCTGAAGGGGTATCAGCCACAATGATGGCTCGAATTTTCCGTTGCGGCCACCCTTTTTGGGTCGGTTTCAAGGGAAGCAGAAAGGATCCGGCACCTTTTTGGTGGGGGGTGGGGGGGTGGGGGAAGGGGTTCTTGCCCTGCCCAAGCGCTGCCGAGGCCCTGAACTGGCAGCCTCCATTGATACATGACTTTTTGCTTGCAACTCGTGACAACTTGTTTTTTCCCGAAAGCATGGCGAAGGGTTCTTCCGCTGGGTTCACTTGAATTGTTCTCATGAGAGTCATTACAAGGTGTCATTGCAAGGAATCATCATCATGAAAGTCAATGCAAGGAGTCATTGCAAGGAGTCATTGCAAGGAGTCATTGCAAGGAGTCATTGCAAGGAGTCATTGCAAGGAGTCATTGCAAGGAGTCATTGCAAGGATTGCAACTTGCACTTGACTCCTTGCACTTGCAACTTGCACTTGACTTGCACTTGCAACTTGCACTTGACTCCTTGCACTTGCAACTTGCACTTGACTCCATGCACTTGCAACTTGCACTTGACTCCATGCACTTGGCTCCTTGCACTTGGCTCCTTGCACTTGCAACTTGCACTTAACTCCGTGCACTTGCGACTTGCACTTGACTCCATGCACTTGGCTCCTTGCAACTTGCAATGGCTCTCATGACTCCTTGCAATGACTCCTTGCAATGACTCCTTGCAATGACTCCTTGCAATGACTCCTTGCAATGACTCCTTGCAATGACTCCTTGCAATGACTCCTTGCAATGACTCCTTGCAATGACTCCTTGCAATGACTCCTTGCAATGACTCCTTGCAATGACTCCTTGCAAGGAGTCAAGTGCAATTGACTTGCGAGGAGTTAAAATCTCTTCTTAGGGCGGCGGGGTAGTGCCGACGACACTACACGAAAATCGACCCTCTGCGGGGATCGGCGTGGTCGAGGTGCAAAAACCCATGGTTTTTTGCGATTTCTAACCTGCTCGCGCGACCCTCTGCGGGGATCGGCGTGGTCGAGGTGCAAAAACCCATGGTTTTTTGCGATTTCTAACCTGCTCGCGCGACCCTCTGCGGGGATCGGCGTGGTCGAGGTGCAAAAACCCATGGTTTTTTGCGATTTCTAACCTGCTCGCGCGACCCTCTGCGGGGATCGGCGTGGTCGAGGTGCAAAAACCCATGGTTTTTTGCGATTTCTGCCTGCTCGCGCGACCCTCTGCGGGGATCGGCGTGGTCGAGGTGCAAAAACCCATGGTTTTTTTGCGATTTCTGCGGTGCTCGCGCAACCCTCTGCGGGAATCGGCGTGGTCGAGGTGCAAAAACTCAAGGTTTTTTGCGACTTTTGTTGTTCGAACTGGTCCTCGGGAGTTGTCTCGTGGTTCGCGCGCCTGCTCCCGGAACCGGCGGGTCGCGGGTTCGATTCCTCCCTGGTCCGCGGGCGGGCGTCGCAAGATGCAACTTGCATTTTACAGCAACTTGCGCAGAGCAACTTGCGCAGAGCAAGTTGCACAGAGCAACTTGCGCAGACCAACTTGCACCGACCAGTTTGCGCAGAGCGCCTTGCCTAGAGCAACTTGCGCAGAGCAACTTACGCAGAGCAACTTGCACAGAGCAACTTGCACAGAGCAGAGCAACTTGCAGGGAGCGCAATTTGCACAGAGCAACTTGCAGGGAACTTGCAGGGACCAACTTGCCGGAGCAACTTGCGCGGAGCAACTTGCGCAGAGCAACTTGCACAGTGCAACTTGCGTAGAGCAACTTGCGCAGACCAACTTGCACCGACCAGTTTGCGCAGAGCACCTTGCCTGGTGCTGTCTCGCGCTTGCTTCACGAAGTGTAGGGAAAAAGAACGCATCCTGCAGCGTTGCGCCGACCTCGCTTGCGATGTTCTGCTTTCGGGCCAACCGTGGTCTAGTTTAAATGTACGATTCAACCGAAAAAAATCGCGCGAGTTGTCAGCAATCATGCGCCCGTCGGAACCCATTCCGTGTACCATGTTTGGGATTTCCGCTAGTTTGCATCTGTCTTCGCTTTGTTGCGCTGATGTTCGCTCGTTTGAAGGCTTGCGACCTGACCCTTCCCGGAGCCTCCATTGTGGCAAAAATGTATGCCTCCCCCTCATTCGATACACACATTGACACGTTGTAGTTTTTTTTCTCCACAATTAGTTGTTCAGCATGTTTTTTTTTTCGGATTCGAGCAGAAATCAAGTTCTGTAGTTTCATATTCTTTCACAAGGGCGGGTTTGGAAAGAGTCATCAACGAAACGAGCGCAACAACAGTGCCAGGTCGACTAAACGTAAACATGACTCATACAATGTAGTGCTTTGTCTCAAAACGGGGGGAGGGAACTGACGAGCTCCATGGGTTCGATCTTTGAACCAAGGGACCCAACACACGCAACGTCGCGCGTGAGGCTCCGTGGGCTTCCCAGAGGCGCCTTCTTGGGGCATTTTCGGGGCCCCGGGGATTGGGAAGGGAGAAGCTGACAGGCTGAGGAGTTTGAAAGCCGAAATGGCCCAATGTGCTTCTTGAAACCTAGGGTTGCTTGGCTTTGAAACCTTGTTGGCTTTGGAAATTCCTAGGTTTCAATATGCAAAACAACCCCCCAACATGGAAACTTGTTGTTTTTGTTGGGGGTGGTTGTTGCTTCTTGAAACCTTTTTGTGGGGGGTTGTTGCTTCTTTGAGGAATTCTCGAGCTTTTGTTTGGATTTCTGCATTTGCTGAGTCTAGATCAAAGCGGAAATCAACCTCCCAGGCATAGTTGCTTGTTGTTTTTTGAGTTATAGAGTTTGGGCAGTTTGCATGTACTGACTCTACTAGCCTTGATCTGAGCTGAAGGTTGTGCCTCGTTTCGGGTTGTCATTGTTTTACTTGTTTGCTGATTCAAACTTTGCATGTCCCAGCACAAAGAGGTGAAGCACTTTGTCATTGTTTAAGTTTACTGATTGAATCTTGTTGTGTCCCAGTAGACAGATGCAACATCATAATGTTGACCTTTGTCCAGGATGTGGAAAGACAAAACGGGTCAGGCGCCTGTTGGCATTGCATTGTTCACGAGAGCCAGCTGTGCGATTGCGGGAGTTCTCAAAGCTTTAGCTTCGTTTGGCTGAGCTTCCCATGATGCCTGATTGAATCAGGGATTGGGGGGGTGCCCTAAAAAGTGATTCGCAAGAACAAATTGCAGCTGGGGAATCTGTCTTCCTAGTCGTTCATTTAGGATTGCTAGTCTCAAAATCTTAGCAACTCCTGAGTGGTACATGTCGTTATAGCTTTCGTTCACCCGCCTCTCAAGTTGCATTGTGCATATGACAGACTGCTTGTTCTTTTCACCGCTCAGGCCGCAGGCCTCTCTTTACAATGGGGAAGGACCAGCCTTTGGTTCCTCCCTACAGGCATAGGTGTCCTTTTTGGTTGGCTTGGTTGATCAATAGAGGGTGATTCCTGGTTTAGCCGGTGGTTTAATCATCTACTCGGGCCATCTATTTAAATTTTCCAAAGAGGACACACATGCCTAGGCTGCCAAAGTCGTGAAAGAGTTGTAACTCAGGCATGACTCTCCCGAGACAGTACTTCCATCGTGAGGCGGAGGTTACCCTCCATTTCACGAACATAGCACCTGTGGGATACCGGGAAGATCATTTGAGCCACAATCAAAACCAGTCCCAGCCGGAAATAGTTGCGGCCGCCTTTCTATTTCTTTACATGGTTCTGGGTTCACCATTCTTGTACCGATCGGTTTTGACTGTGAATCATTTGCCTGTAGGCACCCTCTGTGAGGGGCCATGTTAGGAGTGAGGGTATGTTGAAAGAGTTCCTCACCTGGGAAGACCAGCTTAGTGGTAAACAAAAAGCTCAGACTGTCTTTGGCCCATCCACACAGGAATCAGGAAGTGACCTTTTGTCCACGGAAACCGGGCACCCGGTGTTTTTCAATGGACCCCAACAAAAAACACCGCCTTTGACTGGTCCCTTGCGGCCTTACGCGCTTCGGCGCGAAGCGCAAATGGGATTGTCTTGTTTGAGGATCACTGTGCTATGTTTTTTTTTGGGGGGGGAGTCAAAAGGAAAGCGGCCTTTGGAGGATTGCCTCAAAACAAGCGGGGTAACATTTGGCACCATCTTGCATTTTTGCCATTGACCTAAATGATTGTAGAAAGCAAATCCTGGATTGATGGTGGAACGTTGAGCAAGTCAAAGCCACAAACCAACCCTCGACCTTGCTATTCCCTCAAGAAAAGACCAACTATAAATAAAGAAAACCAGAAGAGTTGCAGCCCAACCCTCATGCAACCATACTCCATCCAGAATCCAACCATACTCCAACCCTAATCTGAGCCACAGTCAAAACCCGGGTAAATGAAGGTTAGTAAGGGGCAGTCCCAGCCAGAAATAGTTGCGGATATCCGCCTTCTTAATTCTTTGCATGGTTCTGGGTAGACCATTTTCCAATCGGGTTTTGATTGTGACCAGACAAATCCAACTAAAAAATGAAAAGAACATCACAAGAGTTCCATACTCCAACCCTAATCCAACCAGAATCCAACCATCCAACCATACTCCAACCCTAGCCTAGCCCTAGCCCCAGACTCCGCTAGGTGAACTTGGGGCTGCTGCCGGGGGGCCAGGGCACTCAACGCCTGCCGCGTGTGGCACCGCTGCCTACTGCCATGCAGATGATCCTTCAGGCGAGGATCGGATCGAAGGGGTGCTGACATATGCCTGTGGTTGTCAAGGAGAAGGAACCACACCTCACTTGGTGCCCGGTTCCTGAGGTGAGAGGTTTTCAGTTGGCGTGGGTAGTTTCCATTGAACCCTTGCTTGGGCTTTGTAAGTAGCTTAGAACCAGGGGTAGAATTAGGAGAACTGGGGTTAGCTCCCTTGCAACCGTGGTTATGACCTGAGTGGGCCCAACATCTAAGTACGGACTAGAGTTTAACGGGAGGGACCCACACAAATTCACATCCACCCGTAGATCCCCCCTTTTGGGCTCCAACGTTAATTTGTAGGGGAGTGATAGACCCATCTTGTAACAAAGTCCGCTTCGCACCAGTTTGTACAAGTAGCGTTCATAGGGTTTCATCCGTCTCAAGTGTAGGGTGTCGTCCATCAGTAGGGGGTGTGGCCTACAAATGCATGGTTCAAGCCAAATTCTAACACTTTGTGGCTTTTCTGAACCCAAAAACGGGGTTGGTGCCACGTTCCCCTCTAAAGGCTGAATCATGTTGCCATTTTTCCCTCCAATGATAGGAGTTTTGGTGCCATGTTCTCCCCCAACATAGAACTATGCTGCCATGTTCCTCTCTAAAAGTGGACATTTCCCTCTAAAAGATGGAATTCTGGTGCCAGTTTCCCATTTGGGGTTGAATTGAGTATTGTGTTTTTTTGGAATGTTGGAGGAATTGGAATTTATCTGAAGGTTCTTTGCTTCGGGATCTCTTGTTTAATTTATTTGGCAAAGAGTGTGAATAGGGACCCCCCTCAAATGTGGTTGGTGGGCATCAACCCCCACTTAATGTCGATGTCCACCAAAGGTCCCGAAATCAGATTGATATCCATTTGGGGAATGATTGTAAATTAAGCTCATCTGGCATTCCGACCCGCAATCTCCGGAGCCTATTGGGGCGAAAACCCCATACTGTGGAAAACGAGAGTTGCAGCATCGAAGAAACCCTGGAATGATGATTCCCCTATCAACACCGACAATGGTTTCCCATGGTTTCAAAGTGGTGCGGTCTCGGATTTCGTCCATCCACTGTAACTATTTCTCCATGGAACCCTTCGAGCGATTCCCATGCAGGGCAAGCCGCTGAAGTCTGACGCAGCGCCTTGGAACGCCTCCAGTCCTCCCCTTCAGTCAGTCGGCGCGTTTTTGTTTCTTCAGGCTGCCCGCTTTTGACGGCAAACCGAAGTCCATTTGTGACTTACCTCTTAAGAACACAACTTTCCTCAACTTTTTGGGGGTAACATGGGCTATATGTCTGTAAAAGATTAACTTCCCCAGGGCCCAGGGCTTGGAGTTTTAAGGGGTAAGCATAAGACAGATGTGCAATTGTCCCCGTAAAAACCGCCCCGAAGCTCGTCACTCTGTTATTCAAAGGCACCCAACAGGACATCCACCATTTCAAACACCATAAAGGCGAAGGAAGAAACATGTCTATCACCATGATGGCCCACTTGGAGTCTTTGTCCGTTGGCGTTTTCTCGGAATGGACTTGGACAAAAATCCAAACGGCTTTCTCCAGGAGTGCGATCGATAGTTGATCTGCGCGGTCAAGAAAGGGGCGCCATCATAAACTGTGGATTTGCTACGACTCCCGAGAGCAAGCCACATCATTCATTTTCTTGGCCCGCGCTCGTTGATTTATGCGAGGGTTTCTAATCTCACTCCCTGAGTTTCCGGACATACTTTTTGTGAAGACCATGGTGGCAGACAAAAGATACGACTCGCAACCAAAAGCTTCTTTGGAACCTCAGCTTTCCCGTTCAACAGTGTGTCACCAAAAGACGGGCACCCACAACCTCCTCGAGACCCTTTGCCACTTCCCGGGAGTACGTAGGTCCAGCGGTTGCCACTTGCAACCAAACAAATCGGTTTTTTTGTTTCAACACACTTGGCCCTCATTGAAATCATAATATTTGTGAGTTTCTTATCTCAAGAAGCGTAGGTGGAACAACCGGGTCCTTGGGTTGCCACTTGCAACCAAACGGCCGCTTGCAAACACACCTCATATAGTCTTTCCCCTTTTGGCCCGCGATAGAAACCAACCCTTCTTATCAACCCTAACAAATCTCAACAAAGAATATCAACCCCCTTTGCCCCTCAACAAACCCTCAAAAGACTCTTCAAGCCCTTTTAACCCCCAACACCCTCCACTCGCAACTGAAGAAAACTAGGACACAACTTCCAAGAGGCGCCCCATCAATGCCACCAACACCTTCTACTTGCAACCAAAACTGTGCTGCATTTCGTTTGGATGTCAGGACTTTATTTTTTTGCCAACCAAAGGGGTTTTCCATTAAACCACTAAAAGTTAGTTGCTTTTAGCAGGGGAGCAGAAAGCAACGAGGAAAAGAACCCTTGCACACTTCAACACCTCAACGGATTCTTCAACCCCCCACGTTGCAACCGGTTTCAACCCCAACAAACATCAAAGAATATCAAGCCCTTTTTGACCCTCAACTAAACTTGCCAGCCCTTTTAACCCCCCTCCACTTCACTTGGTGGCGAAGCCAGCCATCCGGTTCCGTTTGGCTTTTTAGATCCTTTTAGTGTCTAGTGGTAGTTTCCGAATTTAACCCACTAAAAGTTAGTCACTTTTAGCGGGGGATCTGAGGGCCCACTTCAAACCGACACACCTGTGGTGCTTTTTTCGGTCGGATGTTAGGACTTCAATTTTTTGCCAACCAAAAATGGTTTCCATTCAACCAACGTAAGTCACTTTTCGCCGGGGAGCAGAAAGCAACCGAGAAGCAATCCGTTTCGAGGCGAAGAAGAACGGCATCGTAGACCTCGTGGCCAGCGGCGACCTCCTGGCGGAGGCAGCAGAGTTCGCCTTGTCGCACCCTCCCGCGCCCATCTCCAAGCGGGAGGTTCCGAAGACCAATAGGCGCGCGCGCATTCGAATCCTCGAAGCCTTGCTTCGGGAAGCTTCCATTTGCTTAAGAATAGTTGTGATTCTCCCCTGATGGTTTTAAAAGGAATCTATCACTACTGGAAGTATGTTCATTTTGTCCAGGGGACATTTTCGCAAATGGAAGGAAGCGATTCGCAACACGAAGTTGGTTTCAGCCGAACATCGACCCATCCATGTGACCTTTTGGTTTCACGCAAAGTTGGCTTCCAACTTTAGTGCCCCCGGAAGGCGATCTCACCTTTGATTTGTGGTGATAGAGAATCGAGTCAGCCCAAGATTATCGGTGCCCCCCCTTCTTTTTTCCCCCCCCCAAAAAAAAAAAAAACGTAACCAACTCGCCCAACTGGTTGGCCCGATCCATGACCTTTGAACTGGACAATGGAAGTTGGCGGAAACGGAAATCTGTCTCTCTTTTTGTTGGGTCTCAACATGGCGCAACGGTTGCTCTTTTCGTTTCTGCCAATTTAAACCACCAAAGAAGGGCAAGCAACTCCAACAAAGACACGCACGTGTGCATGTTTGTCTTTTTGGGCGTGAGGGGCAATCAGCAAAGAATGTTTAGGCTGCGTTGTTGACAAATTCAGCCGCCAGGCTCCAACTAATGGGTGTTCCATGAAACCACTAAAAGTTAAACTTTTAGCAGGGGAGCAGAAAGCAATCGAGTTATTCATCAGCTCAATCCAATCCGCGACTCGGCAAAAAGTTGTCCGCCTGGTACCTGCCAAGAGACTCCCTGTAATTGGTGGCTTGGATTGGTGGTTTGGCGGGCAGGAAGTGGTTTCCCATGTACCCTCTACAAAAGCATGGGCGTTGAACTAAGAAAAAGGCGTGTCCAATCTCTCGTGTCTTCGGTAGCTTCACATAGGTGTCCTTTTTAGGTTAGTGTGGTTAGACAAATAGATGGGTTTCACTGGTTTAGATGGGTTGTATGCCATCCATTTACCAGGGGAACCCATCGATTTTTTCCGAAAGGCCACCTATGTGGATGGACGCAGTCCTGCACCACGTAAGACCGCTAAGATTCCCTGGTTTCTGATGATTCCCCTGCAAATACCAAACACTATGGTCCATTATGGTTTCACCCATGGTTTCATTTGGTGCTAACCTCTCGTGGTCTTTGGTAGGTTCATGGTGGCTGCGGGAGCGCTGGAGAGCGGCCTGAACACCGCGGTGAAGGCTGCGCCGCTGATGGTGGCGCCACGGTCCATCATCAAATGCTTCGAGGCCGCCTGCTCCAAGAAGAGCCTCTCGGCCGATTTGTTTTGTGTTTTGGTTCGAGGCGAGCAGCATTGTTTCCAGGGGTACCTTTCCCATTCTTTCCAGGGATCCTTCTTTCTAGAAAACCGCCGGAAACCCAGGAAAATATGTGTCTTTTTTTTAAGAACAATGGTTGTAAAGAATGGGAAATCAACCCCTAGATTGTTGTGGTCTGCTTAACGGAGGGTACAAAGGGTTGCTGGTTTCTACATGGCGATGTTGTAGTTTACCTAACGTTTCCTGGATCTCCAGCTTAAACCATCCAGGGGACCGGGGTCACCGAATTAAGAAAGATCCACCCTCAAATGTATGGCTCAAGTATGGCATTGTGAAGGCTTACTTCAAGGCAGGGTACTTATGAAGTGGTCAGGAGCCATAGTTGTAGCCCAGTTGCCTTGGTTGCCCAGTTGCCGAAAACAAATGGTACCACATGTTGTACCAAAATAACAGCCAGGTTTACAAGAATAATCAAACAACCATACATGTTTTGTGTTTGATAACCATGGCATGGGGTACCACATTTGTCTATTATGTTTGGTTGGGGTGCCACATATTATGTCTAACGTGGACAGTACCAGTGGAATACTAGTGGTGTCAGGTACCCCGCAATTGGTGGTTTGGGTTGGTGGTGTGGGGATTTGAACCACTGGTTCTTGTAGAGGTAAATGGGAATTCACCTCTAAATTCCTCACCACCAATCCAAAGAGATGGTTGATACGGAGGGCTTCTCCAGTTTCCTTTGGTGTCTTACCCAGTTTCCTTTGGTTGAGCAATCCACCCCTGTGATATGCCAAATGGGCGTGATTTCCTTGCTAATGGTGTTCTTTGCTGAAACTGTTGCCACTCAAGGACACCAACAGATTGCCGCTGGCAGACGGAGGGGACAAAGATACCTCTCACGTACTTTGATGGAGCCCCTCCACATTGGGGAGGCAGATTCTTCAACCTGCCTAAGTTTCAACAATTCAAGTCTTCCCAACTCACTGCCCAAGCACAACAATGGCAAGGTCGCAAAATTGCCAGTCTGGCACCCTAACAACTTGTTGTTGTGTTCAGCGCTAAAATTGAGAACCGCCAAGAAGGGTTGGCCTTCTTGTTTGTTACCTGTCACTGGGAAGTTCCATTTTTTGTGTTACCAAAATTGCGGCCGCTATTTTGAAGTTGGGAGTTTTACATGTTATTTTGCTTTTGACAGTTGTCTTCTTCGTCTGTGTGGGGTCATCGTATTGAGTCAAAACCAAGTTTAACAGCTTCACATCGATTTGTTTCGATACTCGAAGAGACACGAGTGCAACGAGAGTTCTGGGGCTTATGAATCTCAACAAGGCTCATGCAGGCTCATGCTAGGCGGACGTCTTGCTCTTCAGCATGACCAACTTAAACCACATCTGTTTGCAGCCTCCTTCCTCGTTTTCCTGTTGCTTCTTTCTTTTAGGACCCATCTGGTTCTTCAATCAAAGGGTTTGGTTTCAGCAAAGTCCACAGGAACTGGCCCCAAACACTCTAAGTAAGCTGTTTCCCAGTCGAATTTCCGGTCCCCCAACCCTTTTCAATCAAAGAAACGGTCTTCGGTGTGGGGTTTTCGACGTTCCGCCGGTTTTCTTTTCGCCTCTTTTAAAAGATCGGAGGCTTCCGCGAGGGCCTGCAGGTGGAGATGGAGGAAGGGTTGACTGCTTGGGAGTTTGGTCGGATCTTGTTTTGAAGGTCTCCTTCTGACCATTGTTTTGAAGGGTGTTCAGAAGTGTCAGTGAAGGGTGTTCAGAAGTGTCAGAAGGTTTGGGGGTGTCTCATTTGTTTTGAGGCGAATTGGGCTTGACTGGTTGGGAGTTTGGTCCCTGGATCTGGAGGGATGGCATTTCGCGCGCTTTCTTAGGAGAAGCCTGCCCTGGGCCTTCCCTAGGCCTTCCATTCTTTTGCGGCGTCTCTACCTTTCCCGCGGCGAACTTATCGACTTCGGAACTGGAACCCCACGGCTTCAGTCACAGACTCCCAGCCCATCCAAGCTGGGCTCCAAACCACCAGGTAGAGGTTTTGGATGTGTTTGGGTTGGGGTTTGTCCGTTGGCGGGCAAGAAGCGAAGTTTGTTGGCACTCCACGGGTCAGGCAAGGGGATATGGGTGTGGGTCAAAATTAAACAGGAGGGGTTACGCAGGTGGCCTTTGTGTCCACTTACCAGGGCAACCCATGTTACCGGTTTTTGAGCCACAGCCATATGGTCCTGTAGTCTACTTAGTTGAAAAGGAGACGAAGCGAACATCCCCTGAATTTGGGCAGGCATGTTGAGTCCTCTCAGAATCAAGTTGTTGCGGAGGGAACCGGGTAGACTAGCATTATTTTTGCAAGTGGTGTTCACATCAGAGATTCATGGGGATGCAGGCCCCAAAAAGGAGAGAGGAAGTTCAGGGGAAGGTGGTTGGGGATTTGAGCCTCTGGTTCTTGTAGAGGGTTGATGGGAATCCAATCCTGGAACACCTCCAAACCACCAATCGAAATCACCAAATCAGATTTCAGGGGGAACATCTGGCGCCAGACAATAACACTTTCAGATTGCATACTTCGTCTACCCCAAAATACAGATCATCTTGGTCAAAGGCTGACTGCATAGCTCCATACAGGACCACATGGCCCTTTTGGACCCCAAAGGGGGCTGATTTTCCATATTTAATCATAATTAATCCACAACTAACGGTTACTTAACCCATAAACTAGGTTTGATAACAAGTCAACCTGAGGCCAAGAACGCTCTTTTCTTTGCTCTAGCAAACGGTTTGGATGTGGCGTTTGTGGATCCACCCCTGTAGAATGTAAAAAGAGTACCAACATAATACCAGAAACGCAAAGAGGCAGCGGGGGAAGAACTGGTGAAATTAGCAACTAGCGCATCCAAGCAGTGTTCTAGATGTTTGTCTTTTGTTGGGATTCCTTATTTAACTGTCCGCTCCAATGATGCGGGGTTGTCCATGTCGTTGTTGTTTTTATTGCCACAGAGGCTTCCATTGCCATGGGCCACCAAAACCTAACTTTGGTGCATTTTGCTTGGCTGTTAGGACTTTAACTTTTTGCCAACTAATGGGTTTTCCACTAAACCACAAAAAGTTAAACTTTTAGTAGGGGAGCAGAAAGCAACCGAGCTAAGATTGTCTTTGGGGCTTTCTTTATTTCAACCCGAGTTTTCCTTTTGCTCGATGGTAGAGGGAAATGGTCATGACCACTTAAGGCCGAACTTTTCGACGTTTCGTTTTCCCCTGTGTGGTCCATGTTTCGTCACTGCCCCAAGAGGTTAGCCTTTCTGGGCAGCTGGTGACTCATACATCTGTTGTATGACTGGCGTGTGCACGCACAGGGCAGCAGAGAACGGGCCCGCGATCGACCGCTGGTTTTGGTGTAGCGATGTTTTGCCCATGGGTGCTTCTTTCTTGAAGATCCGTTTCAGGTTGACAAATTAGTATCCATTCAGGTGACCCCTCAGTTGGTATGTTGGATTGGTGGTTTGGGGATTTGAATCCCAACCACCAAGCCACAAATTAGGGGTAAGGTGAGCAATTGCCCAGCTTTCAGTTGCTTATTCTCAGTATCAAAAAGAAGCACACAGAAACATGATCACCCTTTCGGGATGATTGTCCCTCATTTTCGGGCACCCGGTTCCTGTTGCAAGGCCATTTGGAGGTAATTTTGAGCATGTCACTGTGAGCCTCCCCGAAATAAGATAATCTCAGTTCTTCAGTGGCACCGAGTCTCTTTTTCCCCTCTTTTTTTTTGGTGGCCCCACTAAACATGGTCCAAGCCCCAAAACGGGTTCCCTTTTTTTCCAGGGTCACTGAACAACTGAGTAATTTGATGTAACTAGCCCAACCACTGCCAGGGCCCTTGGCAGTTCAGTGTATTCCGCCCTGTTTCCCGTGTTTGGTGGTTAGGCCAAACATAGTCAACAGAAAGCGATCCAGGCGTTCACCAAGTTCTCTACCAAGTCAGGAACCAAGTACCCTCTGGTTGTTGGGGGCTGTTTTGCAGGGGTGAAAGTGCCTCCTTGCTGCTGCTCAGTAGGGAATGACCAATTTTAGGTGTTGGGAACAAACCGGAAGGGGATTCCCAAAGAAAGGAAACCAAATCGTGGAAGGGTTTTTTTCGGGGTGTCCTCATTCCCTGTACCTCTTTACCTTCCATTTGCTCAAGAATATGTTTTATTTTCCCCTGTTGCTTTTCAAGGGAATCACTACTGGACATGTGTTTCCTCATGTGTCCATGGGAAATATCCGCAAATGAGCCACAATCAATACCCGGGTAAATAAAGATTAGTAAGGGACAATCCCAACCACAAATAGCTGCGGCCGCCTTCTAAATTCTTTACATGGTTCTGGGTAGACCATTTTAATTCCGGGGTTTGATATGACCCAAATGGAGGTTCCCGAATTTCAGCGCGCGCCAGGAGTTTACGAAGCTGGTTTTCTCGGTGGAGTCGGCGGCTTTGCGCCACCTCTTCCTGGCCGAGCGCATGGCGCAGAAAGTGCCGGGGGTGGATGAGAAGCCGGCGCCGCTGAAGAAGTGCCTGGTTTAAGCCTGAGTTGTCGTAGACGGTCCCTGTGGAAAACGCTCATTTTGCAACTTCTTCGGGGGGGGTTGTTTACTTGGTTGCATTTTGCTTGGATGTTAGGACTTTAAAATCTTGCCGACGAATGGTGCTCCTTCAAAGTTTGACATTTTTTGAGTAGACGAAATGTGTGACTCAATGGGTGTGTCCAGGGTGTGTTTGTTTTTAGGGTACCCTGGAAAGGGTGGTTTTGCTTTTTGGTCTCCCCTTAAAACTTAAAACCCATCTCACCTGTCCAAAGCGAATTGACCTTTTGACCTTCTGATTGCCAGTTGGTCCTATTTTTAGCCATGGCCCCAAAAGGTGATCACCTTGTATTTCTGGGTCCTTTGAGCAACGCAGAATCTGCCTCAAGAACTACTTATGCTTTTTGGGGCAGAGTAAATGTCAAGTAATTAGAATCAAAACACGTTTTTTTTCAGATTCCCGAACATTTTCAGAATGAAGCAAGGCGCCGAAGAAGTGCAATTCCACGGATTGGGGGGGGGAGGGCAACGAGCAAAAACTTGTCATTGAGGTTCCTTGGGGATGACGGAAAGCGCTTCTTGAAGCGCTGGGAGTTAGTGTACGAAGTTGTGGGGGGGGGGGGTAACCTCGTTCCGGGAGATTTGCAGGTCTGGTCAGCCGAAAAATACTCCTAACAAATGGGAGTATTTTTTGGAGCACTTTCTGCCACCGCAAAGCTATTTTTGTGTTTTCCCTGTGTTTTTCGCGCTTTTTCGTCGACGCTGCCTATCATGTCTGACCTTTTCGTTTGTGGCTCTCGCGGGCCAAAAAGCGTGCCAGTTTTACATCATGTTACTTTGCTTCCGGCCTCGCCGGACTTGGGCGCACAAGGGGTGCCGGCGATGCAGGGGATGCCGGGGATGCAGGGGATGTCACTTGTTTTGGAAGTTTTTGTGGTGGTCGGCGATGCTGGGGATGTCGCAGGAAAAATACTCCCATTTTTTGGGAGTATTTTTTGGAGCACTTTCTGCCACCGCAAGGCTGGTTTGCAGGTCCCAGGGAGACGACACGGGGTGTGTAAGTACGGCTGGTTTGGGTTGTTGCTTGTATGTGATTCAGTGCAGGAGGGTTGTGCAGTTGTTGGTTTGCTCTGACTTGGGTCAAGCTGGCAAGGGACAGCAAGGGACAGCAAGGCAAAGCAAGGCAAGCCAAGGGAAAGCAAGGGCAAAGGAAGTGAAAGTAGGGGAAAGCAAGCCAGGCAAGGGAAAGCAAGGCAAAGCAAGGGACAGCAATGGACAGCAAGGGAAAGCAAGCAACAGCATGGGCAAAACAAGTCAAAGCAAAGGAAAGCAAGGGACAGCAAGGGACAGCAACAAAAAAGCAAGGGAAAGCAAGGGAAACACAAGGGAAAGCAAGGGACAGCAAGGCAAAGCAAGCGAAAGCACAGGCAAAGCAAGGCAAAGCAAAGGAAAGCAAGGGACAGCAAGCAAGGGACTGCAAGGGAAATCAGGGGAAAGCAAGGGAAAGGGAAAGCAATGGAAAGCAAGGCAACGCAAAGGAAAGCAAGGACAAGCAAAGGACCGCAAGGGACAGCAAGGGAAAGCAAGGGAAACCAAGGGAAAGCAAGGGAAAGGGAAAGCAAGGACAATCAAAGGGAAGCATGGGAAGGCAAGCAAAAGCAATGGAAAACAAGGGAGAGCAAGGCAAAGCAAGCAAAAGCACGGGCAAAGCAATGCAAAGCAAAGGAACACAAGGGACAGAAAGGGAAAGGGAAAACAAGGGAAAGCAAAGACAAGCAAAGGAAAGCAAGGGACAGCAAGGGAAAGCAAGGGAAAACAAGGGAGAGCAAGGCAAAGCAAGCAAAAGCACGGGCAAAGCAAGGGAAAGAAAGGGAAAGGGAAAGCAGGGACAAGCAAACGAAAGCAAGGGACAGCCAGGGAAGGCAAGGGAAAGCAAGGGAAAACAAGGGAGAGCAAGGCAAAGCAAGCAAAAGCACGGGCAAAGCAAGGCAAAGCAAAGGAACACAAGGGAAAGGAAGGGACAGCAAGGCAAAGCAAGCAAAAGCACGGGCAAAGAAAGGCAAAGCAAGGGAAAGCAAGAGACAGCAAGACAGCAAGGCAAAGCAAGCAAAAGCACGGGCACAGAAAGGCAAAGCAAAGGACAGCAAGGGACAGCAAGGGAACACAAGGGAAAACAAGGGACAGCAAGGCAAGGGAAGCAAGGGAAAACAAGGTAAAGCAAGGGGCAGCAAGGCAAAGCAAGCAAAAGCACGAGCAAAGCAAGGGACAGCAAGGGAAAGCAAGCGAAAACAAGGGAAAGCAAGGGACAGCAAGGCAAAGCAAGCTAAAGCACGGGCAAAGCAAGGCAAAGCAAAGGAAAGCAAGAGACAGCAAGGGAAAGCAAGGAAATGGGAAAGCAACGGAAAGGGAAAGCAAGGGAAAGCAAGGTAACGCAAGGGAACAAGCAAGGTCAAGCGAAGGAAGGCAAGGGAAAACAAGGGAAAGCCATCGCATGCCGTGGCAGGCGCTTTCCGTTGTTTGCCGGACTGGTCTTTTTTTTTTTTTTGAGGTGTTGGAATGTAGGATTTGCAGATAGTTAGTTTTGCAAGTTTCTGTGACAAGGGAAATCCCATATTCGGACACCGTTTACATGGCCTGCACGATCTTATTTTGTACATTGTACGAGTGTGTGACATGGGTGTGTCTTTTTTAGGGGAACACGCAAAAATGGGTGGCTTTCACTTTGTTCCCTAACCACTCTAAAAAGAGTCCCCTCAAGAGAAGGCACGCCCATATCTAGTCTAGCTGAATGAATAACTAGCAGCGTAACAGCATAGAGTAGCAGCGCATCGTGACAGCCGTCACACGTTTTCGCTTGCATGGCACGTTTTCACGCACCCTCCCAGTGAGGGTTTCCCCCCTGCAGCGGAGACCAGGAGGTTATTGATCAACCAGGAGGTTATTCTTCTTGAGCCTGGGTTCCCATTGTTGAGTCACAATCATAACCCGCAAAGAAGTGAAGGTTAGTAAGGGACAGTCCCCTCTTGGTTTGTTACATTTGGGTTAGGTTTTGATTGTTTGTGTGGATTCAGGTTCCAACCCTGTGCATGAGTGTACCTTGTACATGCTCCGCCGCTACAGACTTCAATAGCACTACCAGCAGTGTGAAAAGTAGTCAACGGTTTGCTGCTTGCCTAGGTATTACCTTAGGTGGCCTAGGCTTGATAACACAGGTTATCAGCCGTAAAGGCTTGTACAAAGATCGCCATGGCATCCGGAGATTTGCCCATTATATGCAATATATCTGGAGAAGTTGGTGACGGTGGTGATGGTGCAGTTGCACCTACAGGTCCTGTTGACCCTCGCGATCCTCGAAACGTATTCGGGTTCGCGACAAACTACCAAGCCACCCAGAACATCATGCATGTGCATAACGACACGGGTGACGCTGTTAGGGAAGAGGCCAACACGTTACATCGCGTTGCTATGGATGCTACAAGGGCGGAATATAGCGCTCATTTGGCGGAAACTGTGCATCGCCTGGACGAGGAGAACAACCGTCGGACCCTTGAGCTGCACGAGCAGTTCGCAGAGGCTCGCGCTTTCTTCAACGCCCAGGTTGGCCAGATGCGGGGAGCAATTTCTGCCGAAGTGAACGAAGCTGTGTCGCAAAGAACGGCACAGTATAGCGCTTTCGCACAAAGCTTACATGCTGAGACTGTTGTGATGGAGAACTCGGAGAAGGCGGTCGGTGAGCAGAGAGACAGTATTTTGGCGGAAAATCACGCCATGCAGGACACGATCAACGGGCTGAACGACACCGTTGAACGCCTGAGGAACGATCTCGAAAAGGCGCAGCGTGAAATGGTGCGCGGAGATCCTCAGCCTGCGTCAAGTGTACAGAACGTCAGTTCGGAGTCGTTTTTCGATAAGAGGGGAAGTATCTTTGATGATCCGCGTCTTTTTCCAACGCAGAATGCACAAACTTCTGGAACTATGCCACAGATTATTCCACAGCAGAGTTGGACTGATCCTATTTCTGGTGCAATGCAGTTTGATATCAAAGATCATGCGAGACGGTCTTCGGAGCAAGAGAACAGCCGAAGTCAGCAAAATCAGCCGAACATTGATCGGTTGACTGGTCCCGAGACCACTGAGGCGGAGTTCCGTGCGGCCCTCCTCGGCTTCGTCCGGAATCAGCATGATCGGCCGAAAGCAAAGGAAGCCGATTCGCTGAGGCTGAGTGAGTTTCCCACTCCTGAGACCTATAGAGCCTGGAAAACGGCTACTCGCGAAGAAATTCGGGCTGCTTCAGATCGGCCTGATGCTGCATTCACCTGGGTTAACAAGGTGTACGTCAACCGGGAGGATAAGAAGAATCTCATGTTAGAGCTAGGAGATCCAGAGCAGTTTGAAACGTTGGATACAAAGCTTCTTGCGGCCTTGTCGCGGATTGCTAGGGGCGACCTTAGTCGGCAGATCCTCACCTACAAGGAGCAACAAGCTGCTTTGGACAAAGTCGTCCGTGGACGTCAAGTCCTTCTCATGTTTGAGCAGTATTTCAGAACGAATGAGGAGGCCGGAGCGTTGTATTCCACTGAAGATTTGTTGAAGGTGGTACTTCATGGCAATGATTTGATGACCTTTATTCAGAATTGGGATTCCGTCATTGCTGGCATGAAGATCGTTCCGGAGCAGCACGTCTTGAAGGACATTTTCTTGCGACAGATTCGTGGATGTCACAAGATCAAGTATGACCTCGATACATACGAGCGTGCAAAAGATGGGTCGTATGACAAGAGCTACGAGTTTCTTGTTCAAGCCGTTCGTGATGTTTTGACTCGGGAGCGATTGCAGTCAAATCGTGATCGTGTTGCTCGAGCTCACAATCAGAAGGTCGGTGCTCCAGCTCCCAATGCAAATCCTGGGCGTGCAAGAGATCCTTCAGCGGTCAAGTATTGCTATGATTTTCAGAAAGGCAAGTGCACTCGGGATAATTGCATTTACAA